AATGACAAAGACATAATTAAGAAAGCACTGCTTCCAAGAGTCTGATGTATCAGGGTGTTGGAAAGATACCAAACATGCCAAGCCACTAAATCAAACAGAAATAATAAACTCAGGGGGCAAGAAACATTCCAAGGTCTCTCTTTAAGAAGTGGAAAAAAAAAAAAAAAGCTAATGATGTCAATGCAATATGTTGCCCATCACTTTCTTCCCCTTTCCCTAATCAGGTAAGAATTTCTCTTAGAAACTAGCGAAGATACACAACTTTCAAGTTAAATCTTTCTATGCTAATTTTTTTGGGAAAACAACTTTTAAAAGCAACATCTCTCATTATTCAGAGAAAGGGACAATGTCTTATACCATTTGCACAGTGAAGTAGTTCAAAGGCTTTCCTCCTTGGAACTTCACAGTAGGCTGATTCTAATAAGAGACTCATTACACCTTCCTTTATAAGCTGAACCAAAGAATCTCCTGTACATACTAGCCTGCCTCTTCATTCCCGTGACACTGACTTAATAAGGATGACCAAAGAGGTGGCAAAGATGGTTTAAATACTCACACTGATTGAAATACTCTTTCCCAAGATGAAATATTAACCATTTATAAATTTCACATGAAAATACACCTTCTAAAAAGAAACTTTCTACATAAGTATGAGCAAAATGTTCCCTAAAACAGTAGAAAAAGGCAGTCAGCCACAAAATGCTGAAAAACAGGAAGGAGTTAATATCAAAAAAAAAAAAAAAAAAAACTGAAAAAGAAAAAGCCAAGGCTTCCATATCCTCTACAGCTCACCTCCCAAATATGTGTATAAAAAATTTTAAGAAATCCAGAAGCCCAGGGAACTCTTGGCCTCTCCAAGCTCTCAGCTGGCTTAGTAAAGCATCAAACTCTGTCTACCCTGTTCTCGAAACTTAATAGTAGAGTGAGATATTTATTATCACTATTGTAACTAGAAGCTCCACCTCCCATCTGTGATTTCGAACTACAGGAGATAGTCCAGCACGGTAGATTTCTAACATATCAGAGTGCAGCTTCCCTGCTCAGAAATGAGAGATTTTCATTGATTGGCAACACTGTTCTAAAAAAGCTTGTATTGCTTATTCAACTTGGAAGAAGACAAGCCACTTAACTATGCAGATGAGTTATATAAGAATGTCAACTTATTTTAACCATAAGAGATCAATACAGAATAAGACTATAAGCTCTTAACTAATTTACTGCCATGTGTTTATACAGAAAACCTAAACCACTACACACTGATAAGAATTTATGACATCCTGAAATACCAGCATAGGTAAGCGCTCATGGACTCAAAAGAAATAAATAAATGTAATTCTTTGTGCCTCATCACCAACTGTGCTTTTCTCCAAGCACACTGTCTGAATACTGAAAACAGGTGAAGTCTTTTTTAACTGAAAATATGACAGCGTCTCAGTCAGCTGTATAACCATAAAAAAAACTTCTAGACTAAAATATAAACTGCAAAAAATTAGTCAGCAAGCTTAGTAAATTAGTATTTGAAATGCAAAGGAGAAGAAAATAGAAAGACTAATACAGTGCACATTGCACTGTATGTGTATTGTATATGACTATGATTTATTTATAACACGCACACTCTAGCTGTGTGCATGTTATACGTAGATAAAAGCCTCTCCTATGTGAAAGTGTGGGCATTGAGTTATATTAAATACCACTCCATATACAGACAATGCTTGTTGAATAAGTAAGAATTTATTAAAACAAATAAAATTATGTTCAAGGATGTGTGAAAGCACTGTTATTTACTTTATGGAAAAAAATGGAAATAATACAAATATCCAATAATAGGAGAATGATAAATAGAGTAGTACAAGCTATAATGGAATTGTTTGCATTCATTAAAAATATTTTCAAATAAAAGTTAAACAAAGGTGGAATCCCTATAAGACAATATAGAAATAATAATAGTCAAGTGTGCAAATATTTAGACATAGTATAAGTCAACCTTGTGTGTGTGTGTTTTCACCAACACTTTATTTTTGGAATTATTTTTAAAATTATTACTGTACTTTAGATGAAAGTTTACTGAACAAACTAGCTTCTCATTAAACAATTAGTACACATACTGTTTTGTGACACTGGTTACCAACCCCATGACATGTCAACATTCTCCCCTTCTCGACCCTGGGTTCCCTTTCACCAGCTTTCCTGTCCCCTCCTGCCTTCTAGTCCTTGCCCCGGGCTAGTGTGCCCCTTTTTGTCCTATGGGGCTGTCTAATCTTTAGCTGAAGGGTGAACCTCAGGAGTGACTTCATTACTGATCTAAAAGGGTGTCCGGGGCCATAATCTCAGGGTTTCTCCAGTCTCTGTCAGACCAGTAAGTCTGTTCTTTTGTTTGTTTGTTTTTGCGTTCACCAACATTTTACTACTGGTTATTGCTACATTTTAGAACTATGAATAATTTTATTTTCTTCTATTTTACTGAGCTTCCCGATTTTTGTTTTACGGTGATACATAAATGTTATTTAAAACAAGAAGTCAATGAGGTGGCTGTAGCTAATTGGCAATGAGCATTTCAGCCTTCTTCTAGTGTGCCTTCCTAGTCTGCAGCGCCTAGAAAGCTACATTTCCCAGACTCCCCTGCAGATCAGGTTCTGGATCAAACTGGATGTTGCCCATTTGAATTAACCAGGATGAGACTGTAAAACTGAGGTTGTGAAATAGGGAATTTTCGTGGGCTGTTAATACTGGCAAGCATGGCTGTAAAGACAATAGGATTTTCTGAGGCAGTATTCAGAAGTCTTCAGTTTCACAGGAGATGAGAGAATTTTGAAGACACCTAAGTAAAGAGTTCTAGTGTCTACTGTCTGTAGACCCTGGTATGAGGATTCCAGATTCCTGAACTGCAGCCACTGCAGAGTGTCCTTGTGCACAACACAACGCATACCCCACCTTCTTCACTGCGCCATGAAAGTCCTCCAGGCTCAGCCTAGGTCCTGCTCTTCAAGCCTTTGCAATGACTGCGTAAAATACAAATTCTGAATATTAAGACATTTTATGTTTAAAATAGCTACCACGGTTCACTGAAGATGCTGAACGAGTTAAAAAAAGAAAACGCTGATTATCTTAATGACTTCTGACATACTACCTTAACTAACTAAAAATCTTTATAAAAAGTAATGGATGTTTTTAAAATTCCCAACTAGGCTTGTTGATACTTTCATGAATATCTATATAAAGAGGTGGTGCAGTGGTTAAGAGCTCAGCTGCTGACCAAAAAGTCAGCAGTTCGAATCCACCAGCCCCTCCCTGGAAGCCCTACAGGGCAGTTCTACTCTGTCCTATAGGGTCGATGTGAGGCAGAATTGACTCAACAACAACGGGTATATAAAGTGGGTCTATTTTATAGGGTCATGGTAATGTCACTATGAATCAGAATCGACTTGACAGCAACAAGTTTGGTTTTTGGTATTATGAATAAATACGAGTCCTGGTGGTGCAGTGGTTAACTGCTCAGCTGCTAACCAAAAGGTTGGCAGTTTGAACTCAACAGCCATTCTGTGGGAGAAAGATGTGGCAATCTACTTCCATAAAGATTTACAGCCTCGGAAACCCTATAGGGTAGTTTTACTCTCTCCTATAGTGTCACTATGAGTCAGAATCGACTCAATGCAATGGGTTTTTTTATATTATGAATAAAAATTATCATAAAATATATTCATAAATTGCTTCTTCAAATACCCTACTGTATGATACAGACCTCTAAAATTTCAAGCTAATCCTAGTGAGAAGACAGTCTAATGTGACTCCTCATGAGATTTATAATAACAAAACATTTTAAGAAAATAACCTGAATCTAAAATTCTGAAAATAAAGTGCACTCTGTTTTTTGCCTCGTATATTACTTTAAACTTATGTGCTCCTTTTTTTTTTTTCCCCCAACTTGAACTAGTTGAAATGCAAGACAAAGTTAATGGAAATATTTGAAACTAGAATTTTTACACAGAAGCGAAGGATAAATCAGCAAATATCGAAGTATATCCATTTTAATATTATATAGATTAGTACATTTTCATATTTCTCAACATACACTGTGCTAAATTACTGGATGTATTGAAAATGTTTATTAATGTATTCAAGAAATGTTTATTGAGCATCTACTCTACAATTTGACAATCACAGCTTAAGGCTCACTGGTAAAAGGCTAGAAGGATGACAGAATGAAACGATGGGTTTCTGTTAGAACATGACACAAAGAGCACAACAAATTGAAAAAAATGTTTAGAATAAAATAAATTAGGTCATGGAAGAAAATTTTAACAACACTAGACAGGAAACTTCCTTCTGTAGGGGAACTTAGAGGAGATGTAACTGTCAATTAGGTAGCTAGAATAGATTACAATTAAGGCCAATTTCACTCTCAGAAATCCATAATGCTATAATTTCTTTAATGTACCTCACAAAGCAATATGGATATTTGCTTATCTGTGTGTCAAACATCTCTGTTAACAGCATGGAAAACACATGCGCAGGGTGACAAGGAGACATGTTGGGAGAGGAACTATACTATGTACACCTTTCAAGTTGAAAGTTTCCATATTTGAATACTATGAGTATATTATCTATTAAAGAAAAATAATAATGAATGTACATGAAAAATATACATGAAATTGTACATTTTTGGTATACGTGTAATTGCACATAAACAAAATATAAAAATGCAAATGTACAATTTTGTGTAAACATAATGAACATACATGAAAGTTGTTGGGTGCGTGAAAATGTACATAAAATGAAACTAAATATATGAGTCATTTATCTGAAATTATTTTATCAAAATTTTAGCAGAAAATTCAAGTTCAATATAAAGTAGGAGGGCATCTGAACTGTCGTGTAAAGCGTTACATGACACACACAGAGGGCTACAGTGAAAATATACTAGGAGCAAAGTATCAAGCCAACCTCTGAAACTCATCACTGACACTAAGAAGTCAGGAGATGAGGAAAAAGCAAGTGGTTACCTTCCTGTCACAGGTTTTGGGGCTGCCAGCAGTGTTCGGCTTGAGGAAGCCAGCTGTTGTAGACCAGCGCGTGGGGTTTTTCCTTGATGGCTCTTCCGAGGAAAAATTATTATCACTGACAGAAGTCGACAGGCCAATTAAAGCTGGGTCGCTGCTTCGTCGGACATGAAGAGGCATATCTAGAAACACAAGAAGCACTAGGTTAAAAATTAAAAAAAAAGATAATAATGTCTGTAAACTACATGTTAGGATAAAAGAAGTTAAATCCAGGCTAGCATTTGTATCTGTGGCACTGGGAACAACTTGGCAGGTATCATTGTTACAGCAGAGAAGAACACAACCACAAAAAGCCAAGAGAAGAATAAAAGCACAGAGTCTGTAACATTTACAATAGGAACAAAAAGCCTCACTTACCAACTAAGTGAAATCACTTGGAAAAAAAAAAAGTTATGGTAAGCATAAAACAAGATCGGAGACCTGATGGCACAGTGGTTAAGCGTTCGGCTGCTAATCAAAAGGCTAGCAGTCTGAATCCACCAGTTGCTCCTTGGAAACCCTAGGGGGAGTTCTATTCTGTCCCATAGGGTTGCTATGGGTTGGAATCGACTCCACACAATGGGTAACTATATATACATATATATGTGTAACAATGTATAGCTATACATTGAAGGTTACATTTAAACCATTATCATTGCAACAGTCTCAAAGATGTTAAAGCAAATTAGAAAAAAATGATTGGAGAAAACAGAAGCACATAAACCATAGTAATATTACATGAAATACGTGCTTCTACATCATGAGGATTTGTAACAATAATAGAACCTGACCAACATTATCAGAGAAAACAATATGCTGAAAATTTAATACTGTTGGTGGTTATCTTAATTTGCTGGGCAAAACACATACATACAATTTATAGAAAGGAATAATTTCTGGTTTTTAAGTATGTGTAAATACCTGTGACAGATGTTGCTGCTTCTAATTTGCACCAAGAAAAAAGTCCAATAAGAATTATATAGACACTCTCAGAGCAAGCTCACAAAAATAAACATTGAGGAATTCATGTGTGTTAATACTATAATGCTCTTACTATACGAAAAGTTTTCTTCCAATAAGCAACAAAATAATCCCCAGAACCATCAAAGCAAAAAAATGCAATCATAAAAGTAACAAAATAGGCGTTGCATGGAAGAAAAAAAATAATTCAAGGCAATTATAATATTGCTACTCAGATATGTGTTCTGTTACTTTCCAATTACAGGATCTTTATTGAGTTGGAGTCCCTGGGTTGTACAACTGGTTAACGCTCTTAGCTCCTAACCAAAAGGTTGGAGGTTCAAGTCTACCCAGAGGCATCTCAGAAGAAAGTCCGGGCAACCTACTTCCAAAAAATCAGCCACAGAAAATCCTATGGATCACAGTTCTACTCTGACATATAAGGAGTCATCATGAACTGGAGTCTACTTGACAGCAAACTGCTTTAATTAATCAGTAGTTGAGTAACTCTGGACACTTTTATCTCCCAAGAAAAGGCTTTAAAAAACTATTGTGCAAAAAAAAAAAAAAAAAAAGTGCAGAAGTAATGACCAAAAGCAGTACCCATTATCTATAATAAATAACCACATAAAAATATATATACTAAACCCCAAAGTAAATACAGGGACTATATCATTTCATTGAATTTGCTTTGCAACAATAAAACAGCTTATCCTACTTGTGTTTGGAAAATTTTTTTAGGACAATATGTTGCATACATAATTTAGATTAGATAAATAATTAGGGCCATTATCTACTGACTAACCATGATCTTAGTATTAATCTATTAGTCTGGAACAGATAAAAATAATCAGCATTTTACCTCCATGTATCTGTAATGCTCGAAATAAAACTGTGGACGCATAGGGAAAAAAGGGGATTAGAAAGTAGGAAGATTAATGCAGGGAATGCAGACCCTGGGGAGTTGTCTCTTAAGGGTGGATGATCAAGGCACAGTACCAGAAGGCTCCATGTACATAAACTACAATGTGACTGATGCCACTTGGAAATGTGCAATGAGGTAGCCCTGCTGTAAATTCTTCAAGCGTTAAAATGTTTTTGCTTTCATTTTGATGATAATCTATGAAAGAAATTATTATAAATATACTCTCGATCATTTATTTGATGAGTACTTATAAATGAGTACCCACATGCAATTTCAGAAGCTATGTTTACATTTGTGTTCACTGTCAAATTCAGGAAGGCGTCTTTGATTACCAGGTGGATGGGAGAATAGAATCCAATTTAAGATGTAAACAATGTGTTCACACACCAAATGACTTCATAATGATGTTGAAGTCAAGGTTTTCCAGTAGTATGAGGTGCTGAAAGGATCAAATCATCTCAGTGCACACAAGCAGCATAACTAGGGTCTAAATCAAAACACTTCAAACACTGCCACAGTGTTGGTACCTTGATCGCGCTGCCTATGACTGAGACTCAACAAGACATCATCTCGCACGTTAAGGCTGTCAATTTGGATTTCTACTGGTTTACAATTTCTTCTTGGTTTTATGATTACATAATAATTATAAGGCACGTTTATCTAGTTTACGAGGAGTCCTGGTGGTGCAGTGGTTAAGCACTCAGTTGCTAACCAAAAGGCCAGCAGTTCGAACCCACCAGCTACTCCTCGGGAGAAAGATGTGGCAGTCTGCTTCCGTAACGATGACAGCCTTGGAAACTCTATGGGGCAGTTCTACTCTGTTCTGTAGGGTCACTAAGAGCCACAATCGACTCAATGGCAATGGGTTTGGTTTTTTGGGTGTCTAGTTTTCTCAAGCATAACAATTGTGAGCATGGCGCAGGACCGGGCAGTGTTTCGTTAAATAGGGTGGCTATGAGTCAGAAATGACTCAACGGCACCTAACAACAACAACAGTTTACACAAACACAAACACACACACACACAAAGGTTTAAGTGACATTGTATTAGAACCAATGATTTAACTCAGAGCGATCTGAACCATTTTTTTTTGGAATTTAAATGAGTCTCTACTCACAGTGGAGAAGCCTACAGCTCACTTTGCAGATGAGTAAGCTGAGGCTCAGGCTCAGCGGTTACTTCAGGACCCCACACTCACAGAACAATTTCTGGACCGGGACTTCAGGCTCCCAGGCCAGTGCTCTACCAGTACACGAACCGTGAGGTAAGCTGTATTACTACACTGGAAAACATATGCCATTTTAGCTACCTATAGCTATAAATGTAAGCCTCAGTCTTATAAAACGGAAGAATTTTGTTGTTGCTGCTGCTGTTTTCAAAGCAGAATTATACACACTGAGAAAGTATCCACTGATTTTAACTCATAGCATCAACTGATTTGGGGAGTTAAAGAAACATTACATTAACTATGCACACAGATTGTAACAAGCATCCCAATTTCAGAAATGTTAAAATGGGAGAAGAAAAAAAAATTATTTGTTAAAATGAGGAACTACACTATACAAGATAATAAAGCATACTTGGACTAGTGATTCTCAAACTTTTTTTTATCTCAGGACCCTTTCCCACTAAAAATCCTGAGAATCTCAAGGAGCTTTTGTCTATGTGGGCTATCGCAGGCGATATTTACCATATTACAAATGAAAATGAGAATCCTAAAAGTATTTACTTGATTCATTTTTAAGTAACAACAATAAACCCATTACATGTTAACAAAAACCACATAATTTTGTGAAAACTAAATATATAAAACAAGTATATTTAGTAGAAAGAGTAACACTGTTTTATATTTTGCTTAATAGAAAACATTTGGATTCTCATATCTGCCTCTGCATTTAATCTGTTGCAATATGACAAAGCATATGAAGAAAAAAGTGTTTCACAGATATGTAGCTGGAAGAGGGAAAAGTATTTTAATTGTCTTTCCAGATAATTGTGGATATTTTTCTTTGATACCATACCAAAACTTGACAAGTGGTAGTTTCCCAAAGAATAGTGGACATATGGAACTTTTCATTCTTTGTTACATTTAAGTCTACTTGTGTATCTTGCACTTTGAATGGATTTTTACCCCATGAAGAAACTTTTACCATTATGCACTAGTCATTTGGCAAACACTAGTTCATTGGTTATGATAATCTTCCAGATATTGATACACTTCTTTATGTCAGAAAATCACATAGGTTAATACTACCACCGATTTCATCAGAAAAGTGTAAGGACTGAGAAGCTGTCAAGTTTTGGGGATATAAGTTTCCCAAAACGTAATTTTCACTAGAAAGCTCTAATTTTATCTTTGGCAATAAATACTGCTGGCTGTTTGCCTTGTAATGACAGGCTTACTTTATTCATTTTCTAGAAACTGCCAGGTACCAAAGTCTGAACAACCAGAATTTGTCTATCAGTCGTTCTTTCGAACAAAAATGGCATTCCATGAAAAAACAGCTAGCTCAGCTCGCAACTCAAAACCATCACACAAATGTTTTTCTCAAGATCTTTGGTATGTAGCAGATGTACTTCCTGCCTACTTCCCATTTTGTTACACTTAAGGGTCAAGATTTAATAAAATTAATTTTTCCTGCTTCATCAAGGACAGTGGTGAAACTGGCTTTTTTTTTTTTTTTAACTGTGAGCGTGCTGGATGAAGAACATATTCGGTGCCGTTGTGTTGATTTGTGCTTAAGGTACCTGCTGCAACCGATCATGGGGATGGCACAGGACCGGGCAGTTTCGTTCCGTTGTGTATCAGGTTGCCATGTTGGGGGCCAACTGATGGGAGCTAACAACAATAACAATCTCTACTTTTATCCATCAGCGCTTTTGCACCATTGATGCAAATGTCAATACAGGAACAGCACTGGATAGGTCTTAGTAATACTATAAACATAGTTTTGGCCTCACACTCTCAAAATGGTCTTAGTGACACCCAAGGACCCAGCGACCATGTTCTGAGAACCACTGGTCTAGACAGACTTGTGACCTGACAGGAGGTCTCCATCCCCTTATCTATAAAATCAGAGGCTGCACCAATGGTCTTAAAAGTTCCTTTTAATGCTAAAAAGGGGCGATACTACATACAAGTTATCACCCACCAAGCCTCATCCTAACAAAATGAATTTATGAAAAATGTATTGGAGAAAAAATGTATTCAAGAACATAAAAGCACTTCAAAGCAGTATCAACAGCCATTATCAGGTG